AGACAGAATGGTCTCCTTCACTACGTCTTAGTCCAAATTTTTGAACAATGGAGCTGAATTTTCCAAACCAAGCACGTGGTGGTTGCTTGAGGCCATATAGAGAACAATGCAATTTACATACCATACCAGACCCCCCCTGAGCAATGAACCCAGGAGGTTGCTCCATGTAAACCTCTTCCTCAAGATCACCATGGAGGAAGGCATTTGTGATATTCAATTGATGAAGGGGCCAGTGACGAATGGTTGCCATTGCAAAGAAGAAACGAATAGTAGTCATCTTGGCCACGGGAGAGAAAGTGTCACAATAATCAAGACCATAAACCTAAGTGTATCCTTTTGCAACCAATCGAGCTTTGAGTCAATCAACTTGACCATCAGGGCCAACTTTAACTACATAAACTCATCGGCAACCAACAGCCTTCTTACCCAATGGGAGGGACACGAGCTTCCAAGTATAACTGTGTTCAAGAACCTGCATTTATGCAAACATGGTTTGTCGCCATCCAGGATGATCAAGTGCTTCATTCACATTTTTTGGAATAACAACAGAAGATACTGAAGATAAAAGAGAACAATAGGAAGGCGATAATCTGTGATAGTTAAGAAAATTATAAATGGTATGTGGGTTTCAAGTGGAACGAGTACCTTTTCTGAGAGCAATGGACCAGCCTGAATCACCTTCACCAGGAGTCGTGGTATCAAGGGACGAGGGGGAAGCATCTGAAGTAGGGGATTCACCATGTTCTTGGAAAATGAGACTATCTATCTGAGGGTATGAATAGTTGGAGATGATGGCTCAGGAGGACTTTGATCAAGACTTTGACCAGGAATGACAGAGACATTGGAATGATTGTACTCAACCACTGGAATAGGGAGGCCCTGCTGTATGACATGAACATCTTGAACAGATGGAGAGAAGTAAGGGGTCTATTCAAAGAACGTGACATTAGCGGACATGTAATATTTCTTCGTTTCAGGAGAGTAACAACAATACTATTTCTGAAGACGGGAATAGCACAAGAAGACACATTTGAGAGAGCAAGCAGAAAACTTGTCTAACCCTGGAGACATGTCATGAACAAAACATACACAACCAAAAACATGAGGAGAAATGTGGAAAAGAGGATTATCTTGAAACAGAATGGAGAAAGGAACCCTATGATTGAAGAGGATGACGACATCCAATTAATAAGAAAACATGCAGTTAAGATGACATCTCCCCAATGATGAACAGGAATATGGGCACTAAGCAAAAGGGTACGAGCAGTTTCAACCAAGTGTCTATTTTTCCTTTCTGCTATACTATTTTGCTGTGACGTATGAGGACAAGTGGACTGATGCAAGATACCATGTGAACTCAAAACGACAGAAAAAGCAGATGAGAAGTACTCCTTGGCATTGTCACTTCTCAAGATTTTGATCACTTGTTCGAATTGATTCTTAATTTCATTTAAAAAGGATGTGAAGATGGATAATAATTCAGAGCGATCTTTCATAAGATAAACCCAAGTACATTTCAAAAATTCATCAATGAAAGTAACAAAATACCTAAAACCAAAAGATGAGACACAACTAGATCCCCAGATATCAGAATGGATGATAGAAAAACTAGAATTACTTTTTGATTGAGACCTTTTAGGAAAAACAGATCTAACATGTTTGCCTAGTTGACATGACTCACATTCTAAAGTCTGGAGACCACTAAGTTCAGGACACATTTTTTTTAACTTGGATAAATGAGGATGACCAAGCCGATCATGTAACATTTTAGGACTAGGGGCTGCAACACATAACACTCGTGAACGAGATCCAAAATGATATAATCCTCCTGCTTCATATCCTTCTCCAATTTATCTCCCCGAACCACTGTATAACAAAAGATTTATTATCAAAGGTTACTGAACAGTTTAATATTTTGGTTAACTGGCTTAAGAAAATTAAATTGAAAGGACAAAAAGGACAAATTTTAGATTTAAAGAGGGAGACAGAATGACTTGACCAACTCCCTTTAAGGAAGTTTTAGAACCATTTGCAAGGGTTATAAAATGAGGTTTGTCTTGAAATGAAATGGTTGAGAATAAGGAGGTATTACCAGAGATATGGTCAGAAGCATCGGAATCAATTACCCATGAATTGTGATGTTCCATGGATTGAGAGATGCAAGCTATTGATATATTTGGATCTTAAGATGGTTGTGCCAAGCTGTTGGACTTGAGTCGTAGGTACTCTTGATACTCATCCTCAGTGAACTTGGGTTCAATTGTTTCAGCCTGAGAGACATTGACTGTTTTGGAAGGAAAACCGTGTAAGGAGTAACAGTTTTCCTGGGTGTGACCCATCCTTTTGCAATATGTGCACTGAAGACGCCCACGACCACCACGTCTGCCTCCTCTAATTCTACGTCCTCCTCTTCTTAGAGTAGCAACCATAATAGATGGTTCTACTAGAGTAGGAGTTTCCAGAGTTTCATGTGTTGGGACACGAACCATGCGTTGGATTAAGGTGTCCATGGAAGGGACCTCAGGAGAGGTCAGAAGCTGATCTCTGATATGGTTGAAGTCTGAATGTATAGCGCGAAGAATCATCACCATATAGTATTTGTCAAGCTTCTTCTTCATTTCATCTGAAGCGTCGACCTCCAAGAACATCAACAGGTCTTCCACGGCTGATTGTGCTTCATTCATGAAGGAGATCATATCATGGTTGGTCATTTTCAGACATGCCAACTTGTTTGCCGAATCATAAAGGCGTTGGATATTGTTGGCATATATGTTTTGAGTCCTCTTCCAAAAAGAGTGACATGTCTTGAAGGCCCTACCTAAGAGACATCAAAAGTCTTGGCTCCACGAATTGCCACAACAAGGCACACAACTGAAAATCTGCTTGCATCCACTGTTCAGTTTTTTCTTCAAGAACATGTCTTCCGCCTTTCTTAAGATGGTCATGATGTCCCTGACCAAGGAACCACATCTCGACGGCAGCGGACCAAGAGAGGTAATTTTATCCGTTTAGCTTCTCGGAAGTAATGGAAGGACTTCCTGAGAATGAAATAGCATTTTCAGCACTTCCAGTTGCCATTTCTAATGAAGAGGATAAAAAAACAAAGAACAGATACGCAAAAACAGCAAAGATTTTGAAAGCCCTAGGGAGATTTCCGAAAGGGGGACGTCTGGACTTCACCAAAAGGAATAGAGGAGGTTCTAGCGAAAGCTACTGAGGTGGTGTGGTGACGATCTGGCGAGTGCACGGTGGCGCGTGGACTACTCGTGCCTGGCTGCAGAGGACGGAGATGGTGCGCGTGGCGGCACGTTGGCTGACGGTGGTGGACAGCGACGGATAGTTGCTTGACAGTGTTGGATAGTGGCCAGAATGTGGTCAAAAAGTCGTCGGACGGCAGCAAAAAATGTGACTGAACAGGGAAGTCGGACGGTTGCCCGGAAGTTGTCGAAATGTGGACAGAAAGTTGTCGGAAAATGGTCGGACAGTGACCGGAAGGTCCTGCTCTGATACTAACTTAAGATTAATAGAGAAGAAATATATCTTCAGGGCTTATGGGACCCTTTTCCCTTTCTTCTATTTATAATGGAAATCTGATACAATGAGAGATAGAGGACTAAGAGACTGCAACTAGGACTCTAGGTGCAGATCTAGATACAGATGTAGGAGGTTTCCCACACTCAACACCTTATACTTAGGTCTAATGATAATACTAGGAAGTAATAATTCTAACAGTAATGTATTTAAACTAAAAACATATTGTTGATTACCACGAATTCAAGTTAATTAAGATATTTTCTTATTTCTCATTTCTCACAAACACAGACTTAAAATCATATCCATGTCCACAATATGCTCATAAAAATCACAATAAGCATAAGAAATGAAGTCGTTACAGATTTGATATGTGACTCACAAAGATATTCTCAATGAAACTCCTATAAAATAAAAGGGCATGACTCCTCTAAAGTGAGAAAGTAAGGGTGTAGCAACTAAGATTGTCAAAATCGAGATTATGAGTGGGATCGTAGGGAGTCCATAAAATCATAAATAGTAGGATTGTAACAAAGATGGTCGATCATCCTCTTATATAATATAAAATATATATTAATATAATTATGAAATAGATACCAAGTCACATTTCAAAATACACATAATTTCATCATAAAAAAAAAAAAAAAGTCATGAATCACGTCTTAAGTCATAAGTATATATCTTGATGGCTAATGTCTAAAATAAATATATAGTATAGATCTTTTAAATTAAAATCAAAATTCAAGGGATCTTCAACAACCCCATCTAGGGGTATCAAAATAGGCTTAGCCTAATGGATTGACCCGAAAAGCTCGAGAAATAGATCAGGTTAGGCCACAAAATTTGTGGTCTAAATTGAATTAGGTCTATTTTGACCGATCTATTTAGATCATACCTATGCTTAGACTAGGCTAATCCGTAGGCTTAAGGACCAACCCATTTTATAGAATAATTATTTTATAAATAGAAATAAAAGTAATATTATTTTATTAAAAAATATATATATTATAAATTAATTTGAACTAAGAGTAAATATTAGAATAAATCTCTAATAATCATATATTCCAATGTTTAATGATTAAAATTAATTACTATTTTAAGTTAATAAATTACTAAAAATAAATAATGATAATAAAGAGTAAGTTTTAATAAATCTCTAATAATCATATATTTCAATATTTACTTGATTAATATTAATTATCATTTTAAGTTAATAAATTACTAAAAATAAATAATGATAATAAAGAGTAAGTTTTTAATTCTTATTTTGAGATTGAATAGATACATTCTCTTATAATTTATATATTATATCATTATATCTTAAATAAATAAAAAATCATTAATAAAATTTAAAATTTTAAATATTTTTTATTTTTATTTAAATATTTTTTAATTAATTAATTTTGTATAGATATGTTAATATTTTTTTTTAATATTCAATTAGGCCAATATTGACCCGTTGGACGAGGCTAGGCGTTGAGGTCGCCCATTTTTGATAACTCTAGCCTCATCTTGCTCCTCTAAAGGTGAGATAACAAAAACATCAACCTCTTACACCTTACTTGGGGTTTTACCTTCATCAAAGTGTTGTTCATCATCTCCATTTAAATTTGAAACATCATTCAATCCTACATTTTCATCGTCTTCATCATTTTCCATAATCCAATCATCAAGTTCAAACATTGCGGGTGATTTTCTTCTAACTTCTTCTCAACCACTTTTTAATTAACTATGACATAAATACAAATGCAAACATACATATATGTAATTACTAACTTACTATTTTAATTCTAATTTAATAATTTTTAAAATCTTACCATCTCAAATACACTCCAATGACGTTCACATCTAGATAAACTACATGTCAAACAAAGTACCCGAATAGCAAACCTTTGAAGTTTTGGATGTTAATCTCCAGAAAATTCCTACTAAGCTGCTAGAGTCTTTTTCCAATTGCCTTAATAGAAGAATTTCCAAATAACTTTTCTTGGTTCTTAAAATCTTCAAGATGCAAATCAATCAAATATTGTTCCTCAAGGTCAACCACCACCTTTTCGATGCATTGTTATATGCCAATTTTAACTTTTTTATTAACTTTAAAATTAGGAGAATAATGCAATTCAAGATTCAGAAGATAGCTTGTAGCATATAAAGGTCTATGGAGCTTGTTGTCCCATCTTTCATCAATAATATTTCATAAATCTTCATAACTAAAAATTGAAAAATAATAATTGAATTAGTGTTTTGTTTAAGCTATTCTAAAAACTAAAATCTAAAATTGAAATTTTAATTTGGAAATTAGTTTAGCACCTTTTCTTATCACCATTAAACTCTTTGTGTGTATCTTTTCTTTGGCCCAGTCCATTGCCTTCTAGATGAAACCCATGGTTGGTTTCTCATTAGAATCTACCCTTCTAAGTACTTGTGTTATAGGAAATGCACCTTTCAAACATATGACTATACTCTTCCAAAATCACATCCTCAATTGAACATCCATCCCTTGTATTAGCAAAACGAGTATTTTTCCCTTCAAACATATGACTACTAAACATTCTAATTAAAGGGCTCTTATGCTCCAGAAGACACCCTAATGTTAAGTAAGAGGTGGCAAGCGAGTTAAGCTCAGCCTTAACAAATCTTTTCCCTATGTAAAGTGATGCAACAAAGAAATTAGAGACATCCTAAAGCAAATATAAGTGGTAATTTTTCTACCTTTTGGAATTATATATTGATGAACAAAAATATTTTTTTCAAAATCTTCGAGCATCAAGTCAATGCAAAGTGCTCGTCATGAAGTCCAATAGAGCCTCTTCCTTTTTTTTCTTCATTATCAACTCACCAACAACTTTATAATTGGTAGCATTGTCCGTTACAATTTGGACAATGTTCTCCTCGCCAACTTTTTCAACAATGTTATGAATTTGGACAATGTTCTCCTCGCCAACTTTTTCAACAATGTTATCCAACATCTTATAAATTTTATCAATTGTTTTTTAGATGGCAGATGCATCAATAAATTTTAGAAAGATAGTTCCCTTTCGACTATTTACCAAAAAGTTCAAGATAGTCATTCTCCTCTTTTCAGTCCATCCATCAATCATTATAGTGTAACCTATTTTTTTCCATGCAGTCTTGTGATCTTCCAAAGCATGTCTTGTTGCCATAACTTCTTTTTTCAAGTACTTACCTTTGATTTCTTGGTATGAAGGTACCTTAAGTCCTAGACCATAACTTGAATCTGAATCAAACATCCTCTTAAATCCTTTGCTCCTTGTCACGTAAATGATCTAGCATTTTCATAAAAAAATTTCGCTCTAATCTCTACAAGTACTTTCTCTTTTTATCCTTTCTGAACATTTGATAAACTGTCGATTGTGAGCTTACTGCTCTCTTCTTGAAAATATTTTTACCACTACCAACATTTTTCTCCTCAATCATTTTTTTTTCTTCAGTTTCGATATCATCTTCCTTAACATTAAGCCTAATCTTAAGTGTTTCTCTTTTTACTTCTTCAATAACACTTTTGCAAGCAATTACATCCTTTTGAGTTCTCGCCAAGTGGTGCTTCAAGCAATAAACCCCCACTTGTTATGGTTTTTTCACAAAATTTGCAATGAATTTTTCTTGGATCTCCATCAATACATATTTCATGCTTCCAAGCAAGTTTGTTCTATTGTCAGGAGCATTTTTTCCATTTTCTTAAACAAAATATTTTTCAAGGGAGTGTCATCATTAGAGGAACCATTAGAAGCCTCAACACCAGTGGAAGACATTATAGTAATATGCAAAAACCAGACATACTGGGGAAAATGAACCTATTGCGAAAAATGAACATATTAAACAGTAACAAAAACTGTTTGCGGAATAGAAACGTGTTTCCATGATTAGTAAGAAGAGAATTTATTTGCAAAAAATTCATTTGGTGCAGAATATTTATATAATGAAGGAGAAAACAAAGTTGAGTCATGAAAAAATAGAGTTTATTGGAGAAAAATCAAACAAAAACAGTACCACTTATATGAAGAAATTTCATGCGAAGATGATGATAAATAAAAGAGAGTAAGCATCACATACAAAGTTAATGACCCGAAAAGAGAGCAGAGCACGAACCATGAAAAGACTATTCTTCAACAGTTTTGAACATGAGAAAATGTTACATATTACATAAGGAGAGAATTCGAACAATTTTTTTTTTTTCACCATTCTGAACACAACCTGCAACCTATGACCCAACCCGTGATGACGCAACTTGGAACACAATCCATAATGCAATTCTACATTTTTTTCAATCTTGGACAACGATTCCCATGATCCTACACTGTTCCGATCTCGCGTGGGAACTGAAACAGTATTGGGGTGCATAATTGTGGAATCATAAGATTCCACGATTTTCTTCTTGATTTTGACTACAATGGTAACAACCCTTGAAGTGTAAGTTTCCTAGGTAGAAATCAAGGGTGGAAACTCACTTTACACACTTTCTCATTCTACGGTAGTTAAATCCAAACTATAAACTCCAACGCATTGCAAAAGAACCTAAAATTAGTTTATTTTTCAACAACTGATAATCAAGTGTTTGACAAGAATATCAAGAAGTTATCATTGGATATCTACAACATTTATAGCAACTAAGAGATATAGCCAAAGATTGAGCAGTGAGTTAAAAAATATAGAAAGATATTCTAAACATATTTCATACCCTGAAAAGAGCCCTTTCTCCTCCAAGAGAATAATGAATGGCACCACCTACACTAAATGTCTTTTCTTGTCCTTCAACTGTAAAATACATGTGTTGGTTGACATCCTGAATAGCAACAATTGCTCCTACACAAGATCATTGTTAATTACAATTGAAATTCATAGTAAATTATAAATAGATAACATATAGCTGGAGTCTTACCATCAGGAATCACTGCTTCCAAATTATTGTCAACGTCATTGCCAGAAGACGAATGATTTCTTTCCAAATTTTTTTTCATATTCTGACTGGATATCTCAGAGAGTGAGGAAAACATTGACAAAATTGTCTGGCATATTGTCATAACAAAACATAACTTAGAACAAATTTAGTAGCAGTACATGAAGGAACGTAAAACAATGACAAAATGCTGCCAAATTTGATTGAAAAAACAAAGCGGCATAAAATACTGACTAAATATTATAATAAATTAATATTACTATGAAAGTTCACCTGAATTTCAGATATAGAAAGTGTCATATCAAAACCTAAAAGAGAACAAATGCCAAACCAACACCGGGACAAATGCATAAAACCATTATCTGGCCTCTCCAGTGACATGAAACCTCTTAAATTTTTCAAAATTTGGTTCTGATGACTTATTATCTGAATAGGAAGAGTATTTTTTGAACTACTAGCATGACTAATTGAGTTCAATTCACCATAGTTCTCAAATCCTGAAAGAGTATCTCCTGAAACATGCTGAGATGACAAATTTTTTGATGTGACAGAAGAAAAATGAGGAATTGCAATTTCTTCTTCCACTCTCCTTTGAATAATTTGATACAGGATTGATAAATGAGAAAGGTCAATCGTTAATTTCCTCCCAGTAGTTGCCAATTCAAAATTCATATGGATGTCAACCTCTACTAAAATTTCTTGGATACAACCTGCAGTAGTGAATTGTATTAAATTTGAAAAAACAATCCGACAACACTACAAACTAGAGAAGAGATTATGTACCAGATTCATTTTCAAGTGCTAAAACAAAAGCAAAGCGAGACAAAGAAAAGTCACATCTATCTGGCAATCTACTTGCAGCTTCTTCAGAAGATCTAATAGCTTCTTGATCATTCACATCATCTGAAATATAGTTCTCTCTGCAATTCTCTTCCTTCTTGATGCCTTTTTTAGGTTGCTTTGTATCAGAAGAGAGATGGCCAATATAGCGAAGATATGAAGAATAGTTATCAATGGCCATTGGCAAAGATGCTGTTTCAAGAAAAATGAATCCACCCTGCTCAATAACATTGATATTTTAGTTTGACAAGATGTAAAACTTAAATCCTAACATGTTAGAAAACAGCTTCATCTGTAAAATAGATAAAGTCCCTGACTTCAATTTGTATTAGAAAGCGCAAACAAAGATGCAAGAACATGCCTGAGAGAATATATTTCCCTTCCTAGCTCCTTAAATAATTACCTGAATCTCCCAGGATATCATATGAAACTCTCCACCAATTGAAAACAAAGACAGAAGCTTATTGAATTTATGTGCTTGAATCAGATCACTCTTCAGTGAGCATTTCCCCATAAAGATACTACTTACGGAAACATCTATTAGTAACCAGTGATTTGCTGAAGTTAGCAGACTGATATTGGACGGAGAACCCATTTTTATAACTGGTTGGGGAGATCGATTACTTAACCTTTCAAAGGCTGAAGATGGGGTATTTTGAACAAGACCCAAGCTTAATGCAAACGAGCAACCAGAAAGAGATATTTCATGTAAACAATTAATAGACTGCAAAAGTAAATTTTCAGGTACAATATGATCAATGTTGTTTCCAATTGAATCCTGGTATTCAAAAACAAAAGACAGGATTCCTGATAAATCAGTCAGGAGATCCATCTTCCCTTCTTCGCAAGATACTACAATAGTTGTGGGCCGAATCGAAATCCAAATTCCATACTCAGGCAACTTATGCACAACCATTTTGTTACCAGATAAAGAGTGAAAATTAGTGGCATGACTCTCAAAATCATCACTTGTCCTATAACTGTGAAGAATCATCTCCATAGACTTGAATCTGCAAGTAACATCAATAAGAAAATGGCAGACATTATTTGTCAGTAAAGCCCCTCGTGTAATTGTCTCACTTCTATCAGGGACCGCAAACAATGATTCTTGTTTCATAATTTCAGGATGCATGAAATCGGTATCACCAGAGGTATCACCAGAGCTACTACTAAACAGGTAAGACACCACAGAAGACAAACTTGCAACTACCTGTCAATAGAGAAAAATATCCTTTAGTCATGACTAGGTAATATACATGCATAAATTAGCATAGAATTGCATTTATTAAATATTGTATTGCACAAAAAGCAAAAAATACCAGATAGTTTTAAAAAACACTAGTTTTGTTCGCAGTCCTCCACTAGCTGTATCATAATTATTGAACAGTATAGCTGATTGTTAGTTAACAATTAATATATTTTCTCTTGCTTAAGGAAAGTAAGCATATTGCCTAGCCTATAAATACAATGTCTTGCATAGTTTAAATATCAAGAAATGATATCAAGAAATTATTCATTCAAGTTGACATCGACATTCCCGATCTAGGAGCCTATTTTCAACTGTTCTTAGCCCTCACTACTGACCAAATGGGTACCCAGCCTCCGTAGTAGATTCCCTGTTGCCTAGTCATCATTGTAGGCAACATATCCTAAGTTCATAACTGGTATCACTTCCAATTACACATTCATCCAGTTCATATGCAGATGCAGCCTTCGTAGAAGAACATGCCATGATGGCTGTGAGATGGCAGCCACAGAACACAGGAATACAGACAGCAGAGACAAGAAAAAACAAGTAGGCTCTTGATACCATACTAAAACTGATATCAGTGGAGAAAATTCATAATTTGGGTAAACTGTTCAGTATTAAAGGCTCAAAGCACTGAACTGATATCATATACAAAATGCTACAATGAATTAGTACAAAAATGAACAATGAGAAATCTAGAAAACAGAAATGTATATGTCGTAATGGTGGTTTATTAGGATAAAAATATCTTAAATTTTATTAAGATAAAATATCTTTAGGATCTTCGTATCTATTTTAGCATTTTTTATTTTCTTCTTTTAGAGAGAGTGAATGTCACAAATAACACAATATGAGAATATAATTGCTGTAATTTTTATCTATAAAATAATTTATGGTTTCCATGATTATTTCAAATTGGTTTCGAGCAACCAATGGGAGCTCTGATTCTACTTCCACAAAAAATAGTGAAAAGAGGATGTATTATTGCTATCCAGCCAGTTATAGGATAGTAAAACGGGTCAGTCTGTTCCGTTTTGTCCCCCAAAATGGGCACAGAACAAGCTATCCCACCATAATCGGGATGGACTGCAAATCCTAGCCCACCTCACCAAAGGAAAGACTAATAAGTTAGCGGGTCATCATGCCATAAAATTTTTTATATGTATTTTTTAAAAATATATTTTTCATTATATTAATAATTTTTAAATTATTATTTATTAATTAATATTTTTATTAAAAAAATTTAATAATTTAAATTTAATTAATTAATATTTATAATTTAAATTAAAATATTATAGTATATTTACATATTTCAACATGACACAAAAACAAAATTAATTATAATTTTTTTATTTTAAAATAAATTAAATATATAAATATTTTTTTAAAACGTGTTCGCCCTTTCCCAACCTAGGCCCGCCAGGTTGGCGAGACTAAGCGGCGATGAGCCAAAAAGGGCGACAAACTAAAACTACCAACCTACCCAATTATTCTTGAAACGGGTCATCTCGTCGGACTTAACCCATTTTGCCATCCCCACGCAGTTGTCATCTTTGAGACCAATGGTAGACAAGAGAGGTGTGACTCATGCCATCTTAAGTTGCCAAAGACTGGCGTGTGTAGCCCGTGCATCCTATTATGGTGATACCCACTCATAGTTTCCACCACAAACAACATCGTCAATACCCCTTGAGTCCATTCCAAGGGACAATGACATCCATGTGGATCCATTTTGCATTAAGTAGTTGAACTTTCTATTAGTTGTTAAGCATTTTGTTATTTTCACTTTATGACAGCTGAATATCTCTCTTCATTCTATAATGATAAAATCAATGGTAGAGAGACATTGAATAAAATCTGTGTGTATTATGCAAAACCGAGGAATATATATATATATATATATATATAGAGAGAGAGAGAGAGAGAGAGATAGAGAGACAAAGAGAACCCTGTAATGATTTGGTGAAAACATATGTTAATTAATCAGTGAAATTCATAAATTATGTGGCAATGTCTCTAGAAACAAATTTCTCATAGATGAAGTAACAATTTATCTCAATATGTTTGGTCTTTTCATGAAATACTAGAATTGAGGCAATATGTAGGATAGCTTGGCTAGCACAATGAGTCATTTTTGTGACCAACCAATTGGTTGAGCTAAATAAGCTCAAAGGTGGTAAAAGTCATAGTTCTATACTCCACTTTTGCATTATATTGTGATACTACTTTCTTATTGTTCCAGGAAATCAAATGGTTATTAATGAAGATACAACATCCAAAGGTGGAACCTTTGTTAGAAGGAAAGCCTACCCAATCTTCGTTAAGAGTAACCCACAAGTCGAGAGTGATTGATATGACCATATAGCAAGCATTTTCCTAGAGCACCTTTAATATACTTCAAAATGTGAATAACTACATTTCAATATCATGTACAAGGAGAATTAAGAAATTGACTTACGACACTAATTGCAATGGAGATGTCAAAACGAATAAGATGGTTTAATTTCCCAACAAGCTTTTGGTATTTCTTAGAATCAAAAAGTGGTTCCACCTATCTAGGTAGAAGTTTTGTATTTGAATCCATGGGTGAGTCAATATGCTTGGAAATCATTTGTCCAATTTCTTCTAAAATATCCAATATACTTTCTTCAAGAAATAATAATTCCATTGTTAAATTATGCTACCTCAATCCCTAAAAAATATTTTAGTTTGCCAAGGTCTTTTATCTAAAAATGATGAAGAGATGTTTTATAGGTAAAATAATCAACATAAACTCATCCTTTAAACCAAAGCTTAATATCAATAGTTCACGTGTCATAATGATTGCAATCTAACTTGTCATCGGACAAAGGCACATTTGCATAATTAGTGAAAATAGGAAAGAGAACATAGCCCTAGGAGAGAGAAAACAAGGGCTCAACAAAGAGATGAGATAGAAAATCAACTTTAAACACAACACTATGACTATATCAAAGAAGAGAAGGGCAAGGAGAGGTAGGCATGCGTGAGAACCATAAATGTGATCGAACCCATCGCCACATGCAGTGGATGACAGCAAAAGGGCAGGGAGAGCGTGAGAGAGTGTACACACATACAGACACGTCAGATCTCCGATGGTCGTGATTCTGGTATGTTGCAGTCGTTTGGCTAGCACAACTCAAATGGTGTGGTCGCCAATCTGAATGGCGATAATGACAATGGTGGTGATGTCAGTGGTAGAAAAATGGTCGACAAATAATGTTGACGAAGGGGAAAAAGGGCCAAAAATCTAAATGCGACACATTTTCCTAAAAATTTAGCACCAATAGGCAATAGGTTCATTGAAAAAATAAGAATGTGAATTAGGCTCCACATACCCTATTTTAAACGGTAGAGACATTAAATAAAATTCATGTTTGTATTATGCACAATAAAAGATCATATAATATAACATTATATATATATATATATATATATAAAGACAGAGAGAGAGAGATCATGGTACAAAAAGACGGGCTTAAACCCATATATTAGCTTTCTATATGGCTAAAATCCCCCTTCTTCTTAATAATTGACATGCTACCAACCTTTGATCAGTAGAACAGTGCGAGGATGTGTTGGATAAAATTAAATAAAAAGATAATTAGTTTAAGAGTTTGTTAGAATAAAATTAAATGAAAAAGATAATTAATTTAATAATTTGTTGGGATATTTTAATCTTTGTTGATATTGTTGATATCTTAAATTATTATTTGATTTTGGAGTTTTTGTTTCTTAAGATAAAATTAGGATTTTGTGGCAATATTTAAATACAGCATTGTATTTCTCATGAAGGTATGGCAAAGAATCAATGAAAGTTTTTCAAAATTCTATGTTATCAAATTGGTATCAAGAGTTAGGGTTTCTCATAATTCAGTTTGAGCATGAGAATGGTTGATCTGACGAATGTTGCAATTATACCCGACTTATGAAGAACGTTAGATATAATAGATAGAGTGTCCAAATGAAGGCTCTCCTCAAAGCCAAAATAATTGGAAAGTAGTAAAGGAAGGTTTTGAGGAACCAGACTTCACTGAAGGACTGACAGCATCAGCACGCAAGGCATTGAAGGAGAAATGTTCGAAGGATAGTGTAGCTCTGTTCACTTTTTTCAAGTTGTAAAAGATTCCAATTTTGAGAAGAATGCATAAGCTACATCTGCAAACGAAGCACATATAACATTGGAGACAGCACACAAGGGCAATGATAGGATCAAATAGATTCGATTACGAACATTGTATGATGAATTTGAAGGCATGAGAATGCAGGATTTAGAAGAAGTTTCCAAGTACATAACTCATGTAAAAACTGTGGTGAAACAGTTCAATCAGGATGGAGAGACAATTTTCGAAATCCGTGTTGCATGGAAAATCATGAGGTCATTAACCAACAACTTTGAGAACAAAGTGTGTGCGATAGAAGAATTGAGGGACTTGTCCAAGCTCACAATTCAGGAGCTAGTTGGTTCTCTTGCAGTCGTTGAGTACCAAAGAAAGAAGATGAAGGAGGGAACGATTATGCAAGTGCTCCAGAGTGAGGCAAAAGAGGAGAAGACTCTCTATTCCTCAAAACAGTAGAGGTCGAGTTAGAGGGCGAGGACATAGTGGTTGAGGACAAGGTGGCTGAGGTGGCGAGAAGGAAGAAGGAGTTCAAAAACACTAGCGAAGTAGAGGATGTGGTTGGAGAGGAGGTCGGTCGACAAGCCACTCAAAACATCAAGTGCTTCAAGTATGGCAAATATGGCCAATATGCAAAGGACGGTTACTCAGACAAGTGCTACAATTGTGGTAAGATTCGACACTTTGCGAAAGAATGTCAAAAGGTGGAAGATACCTATCTCGCAAAGGAGACAGAAACTGAAGAAGCAATAATGTTGATGGCCGATACAATTTGGCAATACACAAGGGAGGGTCACAACCCGACAATACATTTGAGAGTAGATTACAACTCGGAAGGTTCAATATGGTATTTAGACATTGGCGCAAGTAACCATATGTGTGGGGACAAGCACCTATTTAGTATTGCAGAAATTTAAGGATGATCATGTGTCTTTTGGAAATTATTCAAAGGTCTTGGTAAAAGGCCAAGGTATTATTTGTTTCTTGCAGAATGATGGCTTAGTCTGGTCAATCCAAGATGTTATATGTTCCAGATCTCAAGAGTAATATGTTGAATATGGGACAATTGATGGAGAGAGGATATTCGGTATTCATGAAAGACCAAACACTAAAATTGAAGGACAAGCTCAGAAGGTTGATTGCCTGAGTAGAGGAGTCTCAAAATTAAAAGATCATTGATCTGGTCACATGCATTTTTGTGGTCTAACTAAGTTGATTCATGATAATAATCATAATGTTGATCTAGATGACCAAATTGATGAAACGAGTGAGTGGAACTGGGAAAGATTGGAGGATGACAAACGAGGTCAAGTTGTTACACCATAGCTAGTTGAGAAACTTAGGAGGAAGAAACAGTAAAGAAGTTGAAGAAGAACATGAAGAGCATGGTGCTTGGCACATGGTGCTCGGATTGCCGAGCATGGAGGG